CCATGAAGAAGTCAGACCCGACAGGCCATGGTAATGTGGTATTGGTGTGGTATGAATTTGGAACCGTGTGTTATGGTGAGCTGGGAGAGGAAAGGGGGATCGCGTTGTGTGGTTTGGATTTGGTATTGTCTGGTGTGGTGATTTGGTAGATACGTTTTATAATGTTATGTGATAATGTAGTATTGGTGTGGTATGTATTTGGTATCTTCAGGTATTTGGTAGATAGAATGTATAGTATGAATGTGGTATATTTTGTAGTATGGATCTGGTATCATCAAGTATGGTGATTTCGTATGTATAAAAGTTACAAAATGTTGTAAGGTAACGTGGAATTCGTGTGGTATGGGTGGTATTGGTGTGGTGTCTCCTGGCGCGATGGTTTGGTATCTTGGGTGATAATGTGGGATGAATGCGATAAAATCTGGCGTGGAACCGTGGTATTAGTAGCATGAGTGCAGTCTCGTCTGTGCAGTGATATGTAATAATGCTATATAATTTGATAATATAACACATTAATACGTACCGGCTAGGGTGACAGGAGTGTGGTATCAGTTTCTGTGTATGTGTGTCTGGTGAAATCAGTGTTGGTATGCTGTTGAAATGATATTGTAACTTTTTTTACTGATTAGTATGATAGAATAAGATTTGATTTTGTTATATTCTGGATTAGATTTTTTTTTATCTATATGAATTATTTTATATAATGATACACTGTCATAAATGAGTATATTAGAATTTAATTTTGTTTAACCATTTTTTTCCTGGGTGATATTGCAGATATATAATATCTCCTAACTGGATTGCCGGTTTTAATTAAATATGTAAAGCATCTAATTAGAAATTATAATTATTTGTGTGATTATCTTGTTAATCACTGAAAATATGAATTATAGTTTTAGGTTAATGAACATGAAAAAATACAATGTTTTCGTAAATAAGTAATCAGAAACAGCGGAGAAAACAATGAAAATAAACTTTATGAAAAGGTAGTAACTATTTTGCATATTTGGTCTGACAACAAATCAATCATTGCCTTCCGGTGGGTCCTCTGTCCCCCGCTATAGCAGGACCTTCCCTGTTATGCCAGGCCTCGCAGGGTTAGCTCAGGTCGCTGCACTTTTATCTTTTTTTCGGTTGTCTGGTTTTATGAACTGAAGCTCGCATCGCTTCCGTCCACTCGGCTGCTGGTGCTTCCCTCCCACTCGCCCAGCGCCGAGTGGCTAGCGAAGGGGCTTTTGGCACAGGTACTCTTCGCTCTTAGCTCTGGGGGATGCAAGGGATTAAATTTTAAATGGGCGAGTTGGAGGTGCCATGCGTATCGTGTGACAAGGGGCCCATTGTGTTATATCCCGCGTCAATCAACAAGTTCTCTTATACAGTAATCTAGTGGCGTTAAACTTCATTCACATAGTCTATTCAATCTAACCAACGAGCCCCAACGCCGCCATAAATGATCCCAAAGACGACCCCGGGAAGCCACCCTTTTTACCGGGGTTTCCTCTTCAGCCACATCACAAGACACACAAAAGACACATTAACCGATCGCCAACCTTCACCCAGTCACTAACACTAACAACCTCTTCCCCTCCTTCAGGATGTGGCTTCACGGGCTCGACCACGGGGACTCCAGTGCGACACAAGAACCAAGAGCAGAGCCAAGGACAAGAGAGGAAGAAAACTGGCGAAGGGAACACGCCTCCGTCGCCCACCGTGTCCTCGCCGACGGAGAGAGCGCCGCTGCCCAAGATCGCCGTTTCGCCGTCCAACGTGCGAGCGAGGATTGCCGGGTCGCCCAAGGTATTGTTGCTGTTACCAGGATTGCCATTATTATCATTTTCGATTACTGCTACCACTTACTACTGCTATTATTGTTACCGTCATTATCATTACCATCATTATTGTCATTATTATTATTATTATTAATTCTTTTTATCATTATTATCATTATTGTTTTTATCATTATCATTAGTAGTAGTAGTACCATTGTTATTGTTATTAATAGTGATCTTATTGTTTGTACTATCAGCATTTTTATTATTATTTTTATGATTATAATCATATCAATATTTATGACTATAATTATGATACTTATGACTGTGATCATGATTATGATTAAGATTATTATTATTACTATTGTTAATAATGGTGGTCCTTCGTATTCGAGGATGACGCATCAGTGTTTGCGCTTATGGGCTTGGAGCCCAAAGGTGGAAGCGCACACCTTGCCGCACAGATCGCAGGACACTGCAGTGCTGGGATCAGGCACTCTGGTCTTTCTAGCCTGTTTTTTTTCATCCAGCCTCTGCAGTCTGCAGTTTTCGAATATCTCTTTGCCCTCACGGATGGTTGCCCTCCACTTCGGTCGGTCCAGGGACATGGCTTGCCACCCATCAACTGGGATGTTGTAGGACTTGAGGGTAGATTTCAAAGAATCTTTGTAACGTTTCCTCTGCCCACCTCTGTGACGTTTCCCAGTTGAAAGCTCAGCACGGAACAGCTG